ACATGTATGATACCTATACACTCAAGAGGGATTTGATTTGCATCTATTTTGAATCTTCTTCGTGTTATCAAACAGAAGAGAATAAAGAATGATATTTACCACATTGTATTTATCACGATATTATATCCTTTTTCAGACATTGTGTGTGAAAGTCAGCCTGTAATAACAAAGTGTTTTAAACTAATATTATTTTAAACTAATACACATATTTTAAACTAATATTATTATCATAAATAATAGGACAAACATAACTTTATATTTTATGCATGAAATATAGTTTCATTAATTAAGAAGCAATTTCCATTCTCTTCTTCGACAAAATAAAATAACTTATGCGAATAAATGTTAAACTATTACACATGTAATGTAGACTTACAGCGAATATATATGACTATATGATACTTCATTTGACGACAGGGAGGAAGTATATAACAAATTACGAGATTATATTATGTGTTTTTCTCAGAAACATTGATGCACGAAACAAATATAAGACCTGCAAACATCATTAACAACTCAATAGACAAAGTAATTAATGTGCGACCAGTATAATACAGGGTAAATAATGGCATCTGTTGTACAAGGTCAAAAAGAAGGATTAAAAGGAAACGCTGAGTGTTCTACGAATCCAGTTTGCAATTTGTTGTGGACCTGATTATCGAATTAGGATCATCGAGATAATGAAGTTAACAATTTTGCTGGTTGTCGGCGTTATCGCCAGTAAGTAACAAAAACTCGATAATAAAAAATCAAAAACTTACATCCAAGCAATGCATAATTAGCGTATGTTAATATTGTTTATTGTACGAAATAGTAAATCAGAGAACATGAAAGAAAAAGAATTAATAAGTGAAAGAAGTTAAAATATACAAATAGTATCATGAATATATTTTTTTTTAATATTTTCCTGTAGTGTTACAAGTATTAATTATTATATATGTGTAAAAATGTGGATAAATAACATGTAGATAAATTATATAGTAGAATACGTAGATACGTGTGAGCTATTACATACAAGTGTCTGACATAAGGCTGGCCAAATTCACTAACCTCTTTTAATTAATAACTTAATAATCTACGTGAAACGAAGAAAAGAATAAAAAAATATTATTTCAAATATATAAATTTTGTACATGTTTCTCTTTCCGACATAAATTTTTTTTGAGACCAATAATTAATCTAAAGCTGTATACAAAGAAAATTGTTGTAATAAAAATTACAACAAAATTTCTGAATCTATATTTAAAGTATGACTGAAATTATTATATATTTACTTAAAAATATTATGCTTTCTAGATATCTCATTACAAAATTGTCGTAATTACTGAGAGCTTTTGTCATTACTAAAATAGTCCAAATATTGTCGAAATAAAGAAGAAATATTATAATATGTGTGCAATTACATTTATTATATTTTCATGTCAGAAAGAAATTTTGTAATTTTGTCATGGATTTGATTGACGGTAATATCGGCTGATTGTGTTCCTATCTTTCCGCAGTTTTCCTATTTCGTCCCAATAGCCAAGCCGTTTTACTCCATCAGCAAGAAAAAACATTTTCCAACAATTATGTTATAATTAACTTGGATAATTATTGATTATAACGGACTCAACCCTTATAGAAATATCATACTAAGAATCATTGATAATTACTTATTTTCAGTATTAAAAATACTGGATAATAAGTAATTGTCAATGATTCTTAATATGATATTTCTATAAGGGAACTGCGTGATCTCGATCTTGACATGTTATAGAGGTCACCCTTGTGAGTGACTTTCTGAAGGTTTTAGCCGTCGCTCATTGTTTATTAAAAAGTTATGAACAAAAGAAGTTGCATAAAATGAGTGTAATTTTTAGGCACCGTATATACAAAGACATCAAATTTACAGGCTAGGAATATGTCTATCACTGCCCTAAGTAACATTCAAAAGATTTTAACTGGCGCTCATTGTTTGTTAAAAAGTTATTCACAAAAAAAGATACATTAATATCAACACAGAGTATATTAAGTGTAGTATGTAAACGATGTCTGTCCCTAGCCGTGTAACTAGGGGGGCTACGCCCTTCAAATCTCCCGTACCGCGGGGGGGGGGGGGG